AAAAATGGTGTGTGCAGGAAATATCCATTGTATATCTACAAAATGGGCCATATCCCAGTGCCATTAAAATTGATGGGAGTTTTGCCATTGCCTTCAATGGGATCAGCAGCAGTATATAAAGATGGATTGGCTCTGAGCGTGCACACTGGCGCTTTATGGGCGTGACAATATAAAAGCACTGTTGAAGTAATGGAATGAATTATAACAGTGCTGGGGATGTCAATTTGCCTTCTTCTACCTTCACTTGCTGTACAAGGAACATTAAACATTTCCCTGGTTAGCCACAGAATCATAAAAATTACAGATAAAAAAGTACTGTTAAATCTACTTCCTACCAATACAAAATTACTCCTCTTTGTACCTTGTCTAATCCTCTCTGCAGCCCTGTTTTACACCACTCAGATGTTCTGGCATGTTCTCCCTGTAAAGAATTATTCCATCAGCTACTTAATCACACATTCAGACAAGATAGATTTTCCTAGAGTAAATCAACAAAGCAAAATACCCTCCTAAAAAGAATATATATATATATATATATATATATATATATATGATCTTGTTCTTAGCGTTTTATTCCACTTTGAGACAATTAGAAAATACTTTTTGAGGACTTTATCAGCGACATTTTCCCCTGCTTTTCATGGCCTACCACATCCAAATGCAGGCAGTAGGAGCTGCTCATTTGTTAGTGGTGGGATGGTTCTCAATATCCTGGGTCATCTCCTACATTCTCCGTGCTGCCTCATCACAATTCTGGGCTTTACCCGGATTTGGTTAGGGTAGGGAGCACCCAGCCTCCTCTGTTTTTTAGGGTAGGATGTTCAATAAGGACCCAGTACATTAAGGAGGAAAAAGTAGAGCTAAAAGATGTGCTACATTTTGAGGTACCCTCAGATCAAGGAATCTCGAGCAGGTTACAATAAATGTTACAGCAGCACTTATTCTGAGACAGAAGTATGGCCAAATGACATCAAAAGGTGGTTTGAAAGCCATTCCCAGATTCTCACTGAAGATATGTGACTCTAAAGGTCTCCCCAGCAGCAAAGGAATTTACTGGAGACAGAGCAAGAATAAGCAGGAATCCTGTCAGGGCCCATCCCCAACACAGATGCTGCTGTACAAGAATTACGCCAGAGCAGCACAGGGGACTGAGACACAGCAACATCAGCCCAAATCTCTTGTGGATGGCTGCAAGATCTGCTCTGACACTGCATGCAAACAAGCCGCTTGTCTGTTCTGACTGCTTTATTTGATTTGGCCTTGTCAGAGGTGAGGTCAGGCCAAATCATTTCGGAAAGAACAAGGTGAGAATGTCACTGACCAGCTGAAGTGCTGGCTCTATTCAAATTTGGATTGCTGTGCTGCCTTCTAGTGACTTTATCATATTAAAAAAAAAAAATTCTGCAGCAACACTTGTGGCACCTCTCACTACAGGGCTATGACCTGTTTAGGGTTTAGGGCAGCAGATCTATTACTTTTTCCTCTGAGCCCAGGAAGGGTCACATCACCACAACACCATAGGGCCATCTCACAGAGAAACAGCAGAAAACATTGATAGGACACAGCCTTAGGGAGCAGAAATTCCTCAGTGGAGTACAAAAAACTGACCCAGTTTTATGTTCCATCTCTCCCTTTCAAGAACAGCTGTGACTTTTTGATCCATTTTGTTTTGGTGGCACACAAAACATTTTTGAAATGGAGCTGTGGAAGCTGCATGATGCTCGCCCCTGTTGAAAACTGTGTACAACTACCAAGAAGATAAAAACATCCAAGGTCATTAGATCTTGACCTCAAGTCATAGGATGCAGACAGGAAGATGAGACAAAGAAAATATTTTCTGACAAATGATTGCTGTGATCTCTCTGATAAACACCAGTCTTTAGTCGGGAATCATGTGGTGGGGTGACATGTAAAAGCTGTGACCAATCACCAGTGCCCTGTGTGCTCTGACCCAGGTTTGGCAAACAGAGAACACCAAATTTCACTTTTCCCTGGAAGTAGAGGCTACCGAGCATGTGCTTTTCCAATTTTCCCCAAGAACAAAGAATCTCATTTATAGCCAATGCTGCATAAAATTACATCAGCTTAGAAGTAAGCCAAATTCAACTCAGCCAGGCCTGATTGTCAAATTTTCTTCCCACTCACCAAATAAACTTTTCTGATAGGAACACCTATCAATACAGCCATTTGTTTGGCAAGAAACAGGTAGGCACGTTGATTTAAATGCTTTCAGCTAAGTTAAAGACCTTGCAAATTTAAAGCAATCCCACTGCAATTCTCACAACTGATGTCCTCAATTCTCCTTCTAAGACAGTCAAATGAAGTGAGGGGATCCTCCCAGCCCAGTGCAGGCACCTGTGCCTCTCCCATGACTCTCCCCCAGAGGAACTCTCTGCTCTTCACTCACAGAGCTTTTCCTGAACAGGCTGCTGCTCTTCCATGCTAAAAGCCACTGAGTCTCCTCCAGTATTTCACATTTTTCACCCACTGCTGTAGTCCTGATCTTTTCATTTTGCCCCTCCTTCAACCTTCTCTTTCCACACCTTACTGAGAAAGCCAAGAGTTCATTAGTCCCCTGGTCAGCTGCATCAGCCCACACACATTGTGTAATCTGTTTTTCCACTCCATTCCACAGTGGAGAATGCTTTTGACAAGCCATAATTGAACTGTGTCAGGTGCCACTGAATAAAGGATAAAAATTGGTAAATACTGAAATTGCCTTTAGATAAGGCTTTCCAATTTCTTATTGTGCCAACCCCCCCTGAAACAGGGAAGTGACTTTTTGGATGTTGGAAAAGGGAATGGCAGAAAAGCACAAGGGTAGCTGAACTCCAGAGCTCTCTGATGCCTCTGAGGTGCTGGCGGTGGTGTGTGCTGCACATACAACTGTGGGCAGTTTCATTAGAGATCATGAAGATTTCTCTGGGACTCCCCAGTCCAACAAAATTGGTCATTTTCCTGCCCTCAACTTGCTTGAGGCTGCAATTTCTTCTATGATAGAAAGGCTGACTTGTTTTCCACCCCATCTCCATCAACATCATTCAGGAAAGAGGAAGGATGTGGCAAGGAATTAAATTACAATTACCTGGCTAAAAAAAAGGTGCAAAAAGGAAAAATGTTGCTGCCTTGTAATGAAGAGGAGCAGAAATCAGAAGTATCCAAGAGATACTTGATGGAGAAGAAGCCTTTTCAAGAAGTGCTTTTGAGTGGTCACTGCTTGCCAACATGTGCAAATTTTGCCCCTCGCCTCTACAGGCCTGCCTCCATCCCTTCTGCTTTTCTCTTCTCACTCCACATGTGCTCAACAAATTCCTGTCACCAGCCAGAACTGACTCGAACAGAAGTAAAAAACAACTCCACAGCAATCTGGAATAGAGTATAAACCAAAATTAATCAAGTACAGACATAAACAAGTATCACTTGTTAATTAGCCTTGGTTTTACCTCTCTTGTCAGTGCATTTTTAGACTGTTGGGACTGGAAAGGGACTCCAGGAGATCAGCAAAGGGTTATGCAGACAGAACTCAGCTTTTAGACACACCAGGAGGCCTTGCTGCAGGGTTCAGGTCTAAAGCAGCTCACAAGGATTTGCCCATCTGCTGAGACTGAGTTCAGCTTTCAGGGGCCTCTTTGTTCCTCCTGTGATTACCCAGTCCACGTCCTCCTCAACCATCCAATTCAAGCACATATTTCAATTCCATCCCTGAGCAACATAGATTCTTGCCTTTCCATTTCAATTTCCACAGGGCAAATGAAACTGATGGGAAGCATTTTGCCAAAGGTATGGTTATTTCACCCAGCAGCCTGACATGACTCCAAATCTGGATATTACATTTAATGTTCCTGGGACAGATGCTGTCAGGCCTTTTCACAGTATCCTCTGCATACTCAAACTGCATCAGCTTTACAGCCTCTCAAGTTTTCAGACACTGCTGACAATTTAACACTGCAGGGCCACCTCAAACATTTTCCATCCCAAAGCAGGGGAAAGGATAACTGTAAAAGCCCACACAGCAAAGGGTGAGGGCTCAGACCCTCTGATGCATTTGTTTGCCTCAGCAGAAGGTAAAGCAGTGTTCTGAGGGCAAACTCTGTGATATACACATAAAATAATATCTGTATCTGTCTATAACATACATAATATATGTAATATATAATATGTATATACACACACATACACATAATATAATATTATGTGTATAATATACACATAAAATGTGTGTCTATCACACAGATTGCAAACTGAAGGAAGGCAGATTTAGATTTGATATTAAAAATAAATTCATTACAGTGAGGGAAATGAGAGAATGGTAAAAGCTGCCCAGAGAAGGGTGGATGCCCCATCCCTGGAAGTGTTGAATTGAAGGCTGGATGGGACTTTGCAGCCTGGTCTAGTGGAAGGTGTCCCTTCCACAGCAAGGAAGTTGGGACTTGATAATCTTAAAGGTCCTTTCCAACCCAAACCATTCTGTGAGTCTGTGAAATTAATAAATGGACAATGTCACACACCCCCATTTCCACATGAGGAACTCATCTGCCTCTGTTCTTTAAAACATGGTTTTTAAAACCAGTGATTATCACATTCCATCCCTTGGGGATAAAAGGGTTCCACTCTGCTTCAAGACAAGCATAGGCTGGAATATATACACTGTTACTCTTTCAATTCATATTTTTGCAAGCTCAAAATAGAAGAATATTGATAAATTAAAAAAAAAAAAAGCTGGTGTTGATCTAACTGCTGACCTTTTCATCTGTAAACAAAAGACACCTTTGTTTTTTAAACAAACAACTTAGCAAATATGAAACCTGTTCTGCCAGTGCTTGAAGATGACCCTGTACATACAAATCAGTTTTCTAGATGTGTTTAGAGACAATGCAGGATTTCCACGAGTTCAGACCACTGGAAACCATTTATTTAAAAACATGCTATATAAACATGCATTATATAAAAAAATATTAGAACCAAGTTAGTAAGTAAAAAAAACCAAAATCAGTACAAAATTCTACCACATTAAGCCTTTATTCTAGAACCCAAATCCCTTTAAAAGCAACACCCTGAAAACACTACAAATTTCCTAAGGACTTCTCAGAGGCCCACAAGCCCATGCTAGAAGGCACATTCAGTATTTTAAGTTAAAATAAGTCAAATTTCTTGCTTCCTTTTGATCAGGAAACTGCAACACTCTAAATTGGATGTGTTCATATACACATACTGTATTTAAATCAATATTAATTTATCATATTCTGCTTATAAATAACCAACAGGCATTACAGGAATTAGGTGGAGGACACTTTCTTTAATTTAGCCACGTACATGGGACCCCATGCTCTCCCTTTCTCTGGGAGAACCAGCAGCTCATGCTGCTGCATTCCACTGAGAAAAGTGAATTCCTGGGAAACACCTCTGGCCATCCCACTTAGATCCACAGGCATCACATTCCTGCAGGAGTTCAGGATGAGATTGATCACATCACTGTTTTCTGCTCTAGAGAGGGTGCACGTGGAATAGACCAAGGAGCCACCAGGACGCAGGGCTTGAACAGCAGACCTGCAAAGAACAACAGGAAAAAGGGAAAAAAAACAACATGAAAAGTGACAGACTGCTAATGGGAGAATGTGTAGACTGATAAATCCAGAGTATAAATAAATATGACCAAAAAAAACCCATAACAAAATTGTCTTAACTTTAAGTTCAGAAAGCCACCCACAACACAGTTTTGCTTTTCATTTATTATTGTATTCTCAGTTAGCTGAAGGTATTTTTTATACCACAGTGACAAGTACAAAGCAGCATCCATTCAGAATACACATCAAGCATTCCTGTGCTCAGCACTGCTGTGAAAATGCTGCAATTGCACACAAAATGGGTTACCCCACATCAAAAGGGTCTGTTAGACATTCGGCAAGATGCTTGTGTGAACCTGCAGTAACAGCCTGAATTAATGACTGGGCTGTAATTTCAGAAACGGTCCTGCTAATTCTGCAATTTATTTAGCAGGTAAGAGGATTTGGGGGTGTCACTGAGCCACTGCTTTTCAACCTCATTTTTTAAAGGATCATATACTTATGTGCCCTTCACTTATTAAGCTGCTGACAAATTTTGACTAAACAAAGGCAAAATAGAGGCTTAAAGCCTGAAATCTTCACAACTACTGCTGGATGGAGGGAACAGAGGCTCTTTATCACTTTGCCACTGAAACTGAATTTAAATAAATTGCTTATTTCCCACTGCAGCAGATCTGCCAAGTCCTTACTCAGACACATGAAATACAGCCTGTAAGTATAGAAATGAGATATGCAAGTTGTATTCACCTACTCCAAATTAAGAGAGTAAGGAGAAAACTCAAAAATCTTGCACCACAGAAGCATTCTTCAAACCTTATAACCTTCAAACATTTCTAAAGGAGAAAGCTACACAAAAGGTTCATTTGCTGTTAAAACACTGTCTGAAGATAAATCCCATTAAATCATATGTTTTTGAGCCATTTTTGGCTCAAAGACAGAATTGTAAGCTAGTATACAAACAGATACTACAAGCAAATACCACATTAAATACAACTGTTCCCTCAATAAGATTTCTTTGATTTAATAATGAGAAAATCAGAACAGGTGTAAATGACACTGAATAATCAGAGACTTGTAGATATTACCAACAAAACTGCGCTCACACACCCCCCACACCCCAGGGAAAGAGCCTGGGAGAAATAAAAAGAAGAAAAGAAACAACCATCTCCTCAAACCAGATGAGGTGAGCAGGCCCCTTATGCAGAAAGTCTGGTTCCAAGTCTAGACAAACAAAGACAATGCCATGGAAATAGCAATTCCTCCAGGAACAAGCTGAGGATTTCCTAAGGGTGATAGCTGACCAAAAACAGTTGAGAAAGGAAAGAAGAAAATACAAGGGGAAAAAGATAAGCCCTTTTAACAGAATAGCAACTTTTTGGGAAAATAATCAGTGAAGAAAAGCTTCAGCACAAGGAGGACCAAAGCTGATCACAGCTTTCAAAGCTGCTCTGGAAGTCCTGTCCAAAATAATATGGGAACACCAGGACACTGCTTCAGCCAGTGATAAGACCAGGTGAAAACTCCTGAGAATTATACCAAACCTATTTCTTTTGGGAGCATACACATGACCTTGCTCAATTATTCGATGAGTCTCAGTTATGGTAATTAGGAAGCCAAGAATACATTAATAACCACAGTGCATTCATATATATGGACTTAACTGCTAAATTAAAGACAAGCAGGGATGTGCAACCCTACTTTCTCATGGACACCAAACCTGCAAGAAAGCCTGATGCACTATCTCTTGGCCTCATTCCCATTTGGGGAAATTAAAAATCACTCTCCCCCCTCCCACGTATTGGACTTTGCTTTTTATCTTTCACATTAGAACTCAAAGAGAACAGAGCAGAAGTCTAAATGGGCCGTCATGAAGTTGAGCTGATCTTCAGATCATTATCAGAATCCACCCACATAACTCATTTTTGACAGACTTTCCCTGCCAGCTACACCTTTTCCATGCATGCAGGCATGCCAAGCCCTGAGGGCAGCCAGTAAGCTTGGGAACGTTTTAACATGACAATTGAGATGTACTTTTGGCAAACCTGAGAACTTGGAGAAGCAGATAATGGCAACAATTTTCCTTCCTCTAAGACAGCACTTAGACAAGAGAGAGAATTATTTTACCATGTAAAAGTGGGAAAGGTAAAAGATAAAAAAGTAGATGTAGTACAGGTTACAAGGTTAAAAGCCTGGACACTTGCTAAATTTCCCGTTCTTCCCATATGGAAAGCAAGAACTCACCAAGATAACATTTTCAAGGGCACCATGCTCCTTCAACTGAGCCCATCAGAAGAAAGAGCAGCACAGGCCTCTGAAGGAAAACTTGAAAATCTCACCTCAAAACCCCCTTGTGTCTAAACCTCAACTTGTGAATCTTCACCGGCCCATGACCGAAAAGGTCAGCCTGCTCAGTGCAGCTCTCTTTATTTTGAATCTACAGCAGGAATTAAAATATCTGAGGAGAATTACTTCAGGCAGCAAGGTTAATCAATGTATCTATCCATCTCGTCAAGTGCAGCAACAGTTGCTTCAGTGCCTGTGTCAAAGTCAAGGCCCCCAGCTCTGATGAAGCTGTGCCTGGCTGCTGATAAACCTGCAGGGAGCTGCAAAATTCCAAGTGAGGAAGTGCTGGGCTCAAAGTCCCACGGGGTGACACCGAGCTGGGCCAGCAGAGCCAGGGAGTTTGGTCCTCTCCTCATCAGCAGCACAGAGAATTCATTCAGGACAGGATTTGATCAGCAGGGAATTGGTTAATCACAGAATTTTTCAAATACACTTAGGCAACTTCCCCTCTAACCACTGGAGGGAAACAAGCTCATCCAAGGGGTAGGCTGGAGATGAAGCATAACTTAGTCCTACTTTAACTCCACCACCTGGAACTAAGATTTCTTTAACTGGGAATTTTAATTATCGACTCTTAGCTGAAGAGTCTGTATTAGAACCAATACTCTGTAACTCCCAAAAAATGGGAAGTCAAATCTAGAATGATGAAGATGCCAAAGTATTTTTCACCTTCCTCTTATTACAATGCCCTATTTAAAAAAACCCAATTATTTAAAGGTACTTAATCTGCAGTTCTTTTTCTTTTGGTGGCACACATGACATTAGTGTTTATTAAAGAGCTAGAACTTTCAGCTGAAATAAACATCTAGTTAATATCATAATTCTATTTCAGATACATATATTTCCTGTAATGAACTTTACAGGTTTACAGGCACTACTACTGCAAGGTTTCTTCACATGAAGAAACATCAAAACAATAAGAGCCCTGGAAACTTTTTCTGGAGTCTTTGTTTGTCCATCTCATTCAACAAGTTCTGTAAAAGAAATTAACACATGTAGATTGCTCCCCTCCTCTTTCTAAATGAGACTTTACAGAACTAACAAAAAAAAGTAAAAAATACTTTATATTTTTACAGGGTGTGTGTCTGGGTACAGGTTCATATTGTACTGTGGAAATCAGAGGTACAACAGATGCATTAATCTATCCTAACTCCCTGTATTACAGCAGTACCAGAAAAGACTTTGGAAAGAAATATATTATTTCAAAGCTCTTTTTATTTTTTTTTTAGTTTATTTCTTAGGATTTACTAGATTAGGGAAAACAAAACACCATTACTGTTTAAGACCACGGGGAAAAAAAATTACCACGCTAGAGCCATATGACAAACCCAAAAAACTCTTCAATGCAACTAAAATGCTGCACAAATGCAGCCAGGACTTAAAAAGGCTTTTTCTCACAGACAGAGAAAAGTCTTGGTGTCTCAAACATCCTTTTAAAAATGGGCAGACACAAAAATATGTATTTCCCACTATAAGTAGCACCTCCATCCCCAGCTTATCCTCTGGTGCGTGGGTCTATGCAGCATGCCATGGGAAGGGGCAGCATTCATTATGTTAATAATTCGACCATTTTCTGTATTAAAGTTTAAAGATGACACAATTTTAGGGCAATTTTAAACTAACACAACACTTCAACAGTGCCATCTTTTGGCAACTACGATGTATTTCTGCTCAGTAGGCAATATAACGTCTCATCAGAATAAAAAATGCCCATTCTATTCTTTTTATTGAATTAAAACATCCACATTACCTTTTGCCTCTCACAAGAGTCCAGATACTTTGTGGCAATATGACCTGCATGTTAAAGGTTTTGCTTTTATTTCTTTGAACCTGAACAAAATGATAAGGGAAATCCTTCAGTGTCAAAATATCAATTTTTTTAATACTTTTTGATGGGCAGTGACAGTAGTTCAAGCACTCCCTCTGCTCCTCTGTAAGTAGACTTTGCTCTTGTGGAGAAACATTGCAGCTCAGAGTAACAGGAGAATCATGAAAATCAACTGCCTTTTTCAACACTAAATTGAATTATAAATAAAAGGAGACTCAGGCATCAAAACCCCCCAGATCAAGTATAGACAAAATTTGTCCTGCTTACCAAAATTTGGTAAGCAACATTCCTATTGCAAATAATTCTAAATTATTCTAAAGCAAAGACAAAAAACAGCTACAATTATTGATCTTTTTCCTTTAATGCATGGTGACTTCTGGAATATTCATCCAGTCAAAACAGGGATATGAGACAGCCCAAAAGGGAGAACGAAAGACTTTTGAAGCTCACTAAAGAGAACTTTAGGGTTAGTGATTATCCTCACAGCTCATAAAACATACAGAGAAAGGACTGAAGGTGGAAGTAAAGCAAAATTTGTTCCTGAATTCAAATATGTGATCTCAAAAAACCGCTGAGTAGCTTATTTGTTCAGTCATACAGTTATTTATATATTCAATAAACCTGGCTTTGCAACATATCCTAAGGGACTTGATCTGTAAGTTATTCACAGGATGCTTAAAATCAGGCACTATTTATTTTAAGATAAAACATGATGGAACACCTGAAGCCACAGCACGCACTCTTTGTGAAGAAATTCCAAGCAACCATGAAAAATCTCCAACAACCCAATCAAAAGTGTTTTGGGGAATGGCACAGCACAAACACACACAAAATATTCAGCTTTTTTAAGATATAAAGTGGCTAAAGAATCCTATCATCCACACAACCCACAGCAGATTTGTTGGTCCAACAGCTGGAATTCTCAAAAATGCCCAGTGGACCTAATTGAAAAGATGGTTTTGAACAATAAAAGGATTAACTGGGCAGCTATAGAGGAGCAAAAGGAAAAACTCCAGGGGAAAGAGCTGAAGATGTGATGAAGCAATTCCCAGCACAATTTGCTCCACACAGCAGAAATGCTACAGTGGTGACATATGCTAAATATATGATTTTATATTTACTAACACATTTTTTGCATTCACTCTATAACCACAAAAAGCCCAGCTAAGAGTACACAATCCTGTAGAAAACTCCACAACTCAGTGAAAATACAGAGCTGTTTAATTACTCAGAGATGCTGTGTATAGAAGAGTTCCAGGTCTGAATGCCTTTGCTGAGTTTTCTAAATTGCATTCTGTTGGATTTCTTTTCTGCTGAGCCCTAACACAAGTTCTTTTCAGCTGCAGAAACCAGTCTAAGAATAATTACAACATCCATAACAGTTTAACCACTATGTAATTGGGCATTCAAGCTTAGCTCAAAATTTAATTTCTCTCTGAGAACTGATAACATTGGTAAATTTGCTTTTGGGAACCACTGTATTTTGTGTTAGCATTTAGCATCAGCAAGTGAATATTTCTTTTTTTTAACTTTGCAATTTGTTTTCTGCATGAACACTCCAAACACTAACAAGATTTGCAGAGTGTTCTTGGATTAGAGCACTCAGCAGGGATGCTTTGGTTTGGGTATGAGCAATCACTACAATCTCAATTTCCTTCAAATCAGTGGTGCCCTCATTGCTTATAACATTTGCTGTTCAGCATTTATATCACTTATTTACATTTCAGATTTTATGCAGGCTGCAGGAAGAAAATTGTTGCATCAGCTTCTTCCAGATCATCATTCTCTGAAGCCTCTATGTACTTAATTAATTACATTGTATTGCAAACCCTACTTTTCCTTCCTTAACTTCCCTCTTTAATGACCGCAGCTTCCCCCAGAACACATCCATAAGAACAAATTAGAGGTGAAGCATTTCCTTCATTAAGGAGGAGGGAATCTCAAATTTTAGGCTGTTGCTTGATAGAAATAAAAACAGAACTGTACTTTGCATTTCATTCTTCTCATTTTTATGTTACACTTAATCCTCCTGCTGAACTGAAATAATGCTTGGTCCCTCAAGCTTCATTTTCAAATCACAGGATGGCTGGGGTTGGAAGGGACCTAATGATCACCCATTTCCAATTCAATCCTCAACCTATCCCAAATTGCTCCAAGCCCCATCCAGCCTGGCCTGGGACACTTCCAGGGATCCAGGGGCAGCCACATCTTCTCTGGGCACCCTGTGCCAGGGCCTGCCCACTCTCACAGGGAAGAATCTTTTCCTACTGTCCCACCTAAACATGCTCTCTCTCAGTTTGAAGCCATTTCCCTTGTCCTGCCACTCCATGCTCTTACAATGTATTTCCTGCATTATTCTCAATAAAACTGCTGGGATTCAGCCCTACACTTGTTTTTGGTTACAGATATAGGAACCAAAGTCAGGAACACCTGGGAGCATCAAGCACCAGGTAACCTGAATCAATGAACCAGAGAGACCCCTGCATGAGCTGGCTCATGTAAAAAAAAGTACAGCTTTTTTTTTTTTTTTTTTTTTTTTTTTACAGTAATATTCATGGAGGCTCAGCCCTCCTGAATATTACTGGAAGTACTGAAGAAGGGATTCAAACTCAACTTTTTATTTATAATTATGCACTCTAGTTGTTAAACAGAGGCTTGAATAGGGAAGCATTCCAGAATTTTAGTTCTAATGCACTTGTCACAACCCATTCAGCCTTTTCTGATCTTGCTTTATCATTTCCTTTTTCCCCTTTCACGTGGGATCTGAGATGTCTTTAGAACTGGGAATTCATTCTGAAGTGATCAGGTAAACAGAACAATAACCAGCTAGTGGACAGCTATCCTTCAAATATTTTATCCAATAACCCAAATAATAATCCTTATCTCCTCTAACAATAACCCTTATAAACTCTAACTCTTAAAAGTAACCATCCTTTTACCACAATTTATATAGCAGAGGTATTTTACTAATTTATATAGCAAAGGTATGTTGTCTTTACAAATTCTTATTACTGTTGCTAAAATAAAGAACATTTTCAACAGAAAGTTCTCTCTCTATTTAGGAATAATTCAATTAAATCTGATTTGGGCTGACTGGAACGTTTATTTTTTTAAAAACCCAAGGTTTCTGCTGTCATGAGTTCTCCAGGATTACAATGTGGAATGATTTATGCAAATTCTCAAAATTTCTCTGCATGATGTATGCTTCCTTTTGCTACGGGTTCACAAATTGGATTTCCCATGTCAGATATTGAAAAGGGAAAACTGGAACAGGTCAGTGTTTTAAATGTGATTGATTTCTTCAAAGGAAATGGATGACATGATGCATTACTGCAATAAGATCCTCATATTTCTGTTATAAATCACAGGCTTCTGCCAGGCCTTTTTCAACTGGAAGTCTTGCTAAACTATCTTGAACTGCAATGGGAACTTTCCATAAAAATTTTCCTTTTTTTTTTCCTTATGTTATTTTTCCCCTCAATTTGCTTTGACAGATGGACTTCAGGCATAACTGTTACTCCACAAATAACATTCAAGGTTTTATTTTAGAAGGTTTTACTGAAAAGTCACTCTTTTTTTCCCCCATGAGAAAAACTGTGCAGTTTGAAATGCTTCACAAATGCCAGCCCATAGCTGGCAGCATTAAAAGGTGTCATACATGACAACCTGGCTTTGGATTATTGGGGGAACGTTCTCATAAACAAACAATCCTCTCTTTCCCCCACCAAACTTCACATTCTTTTACTTTTTTACCCTGACAGTTAGGACTGAGACCCTTTCTGTGCTATGAACAATCAATATGGAATATAGCTAAGCCCATTTTAGCTGTGCCCACCTAAAATACTTTGATTTTACACCAGACTGTTGTGAGTCATCTGCAAACGGACATTCCTGTGAATAAATGAGTTAAGAGGGTCAAGGCCACACTGCTGGTATCACCCACCCAGATTTCCACATCTTCATTGTCTCAGACCCACTGGTTATTCTAAACAGCATCCCAACCACATATTCCTGACATTATTTCCAGAGCAGGAATCCTAGGTTGGTTTATTAAATCTTGTCCCCATGTAGTTTTTATTAATTACAGGAAGTTCCTTTAACTTTTTGCACTTCTCACCTTAGAAGCTGGAATTGCAGGGAGGACAATTCCTTCCTTTGCATGAGCCTGAGCACAGCTTGTTGAGGGTCAGCAGAGAAGAGCCAGCTTCTGTCATTTGAACAAGGAGCATCAACCAGGACCTAAACATTAATAAAATCAAAATTAAAAAAAAAATAAAAAACTCAACAATGATGGTCACTTTTTGAACACTGTGGGAATCCAGGGCATCCCTCTGGCTGCCCTGGAAGGTCTGGGACCCTGGCAGAGGGTCAGGAACCCCCCTGGACAGAGCCCCCAGAGACACTGTCTGTGATCTCTGTCCATGGAAAAGAGTTTTCAATCTTACAGGATGAATTACAAGCTCTGAGTATTTGATATGAGTAATAATTAAGTGTGGCACAGGTGCAAAAGTAAAATTTTAGGATTCTAGATTAGGGGTTCAGAGGGGACAAGATGGAGGAAATTGGGTGTGTCTTGTCCTTTTTCTCCTTCTTCCTGCCCTCCATGTTTCACTGCAGTGTTGGCATTTTTCTATTGGTTTAGGCTGGGGACACACTGTTCAACGTAGGTGACAGATATTGGCACATTATTGTAAATATAGCACAGGTAGTTTCTGGTATATAATGTTTGTACCATCCCACTGAGGGCAGAGCCCCACACGCTGCCCTGCAGGAGAGACCTGCGGCAGGGCAGCAGAACATGTTAGAGATAAACAGAATAAACAACCTTGAAACCAGCACAGACGAATTATGGCTCTTCTTTGGCAGCGGGGCAGAAAGACAGAGACTTTCTACAATCTCGGAATCATCAATACCACAGATTCCGACAGAACACCACATGCCAAAATATATTCGATATTCTTTTGCAACTATTAAGAAAATTTTATTTTCCATTTTGGGGGTAAAATGATCCCATTACTATTTTTAGATGTTTTTATGGGGTTAGCTGTGGGGGAGATAAAAAATTAGTGCTTTGAAAGTAAGATCTAGCTGAGCAGCTCCCTCTTCTCCTCTCCTTCCCAATTACACATCATGCAAAGATTACAGCTACAAGGTCTTCAGAATTCATGCCCAAGGTTGAATGGGCAACATCACCCAACACAGGAATAAATGCACAACAAGCTTCATAAAGTGTTCCCTGAGGCTCTACAAATCCTGTACATTACTTTATTCCCTTTGAGAGGTCAGGTATTTTTGTGGGGGGCCAGGAAAAAAAAATTAAAAAGACAGCATCATAGGAAGAAGAAGAATCAGTAATAATGTTACCTTGTCATAAAATTCAGGCTGAAGATCTCCAATCTGTCTGCCATCCAATTTAGAGACTGTTATCAAGTTAATTAAAGGAGCTGGGATAAAGGATTCTATTGTCTGCTCCAACCATCTTGACCTCAAATCATCATATTCATTACAGTGAAAATGACCTTAGAAAATTAAGGAAAAAACAAACAAAGAGAAGCAAACACCAAAGAGAAGTCATAATAATATTTTTTCTCTTTTGTTTTTACAAATATAATGAGTTATACCCATTCTGGAAGTTCTACTGCACTGCCACGACTGCCATGGAGTTACACCTTATGTGCCTGTGTTATTGCACTTTTTAAGAATACTACTGAATTTTTATAAACCTAAATAAATTTCAACATGCTCCTACAGAGCAAACCTTAAATATTTACTACAAACCCTTCTGTAGCAATAGAGTTCTACAGTTAAACAAACTTTAATCATGACCCATATCCAAAGAGCAAGTGCCTTCCTGGGCTCCTTGAGCCACCACCTAAATGAGTGCATGCCCCATATTATTAAACTGTCTTTTAAATAAATAGAGCATCAATTTTGTCTATCTTAAGGTACATCTTAGCATTCACTAGGGTATATTAAGAATCAAATTCTTCACATCTTCCATTCAGCAACAATTTGTTCTCTTCAGAAGCAGACAGAGGGTAAATCCCCAGTGTTGGGGTTTTTTCCTCTAAAGCTTCTGGAAAAACAATTCATATTTAATTTACTTCATTAGCATCACCCCATTCCTCTAGAAGAGGGAGGGAAACCAGCTGTGATCAGCTGGTGCAGGTGGTTATAGTAATGGTCTCATCAGCAGGAGCACAGGATGCTGTGAACAGTTTGGAACAATTATTACCCAAGCCAACAAATGAACTTGGAAACAGCAATCCCAGCTTGCTTTAACTCCTTGGCCCAAGCTGCTGCTTGCTGCTGCCTTCTAAACACCCTGATCATCTCAGAAGCCTTCTCTAACCAATTCCTTATCACAAACTTCCTCCCTTTGCACAGATCTTGCACATTTCAAGATTGCATCTTGCATAATTTCTTAAGCTCTGCTTTACATCAGCACACTTAAATTGACCTGTAGTATTTGCACAGCATTGACAAAAGAGGCAACAGAGGAGAAGGAAAAAAAGTAAAAAAGGACAAGAATAAGACTGCAGATTACTTACATTCCTGGGCCAACAGACAGTGGAGAAAAAGCCACAGAGCTACCCCACTTTTGCCTGTCACTATGCACTAACCTATGCTAAAGTAAGGACTGCATTTTTAATCCTCTTTTAGGCAAACAGATTTTATAAAATCCTTATTAAACAGCGCAGAACTAGGTGGAATACAAACTATTGTTTGGTTTTTTTTCCTCCACCAGCACCTAGCTCCATTACCTGGACAGGCACACTGCAGGATAGCTACAGATTTGCCCCCTGGTGCAGCACAGAGATCCAGAACAGCTTCCCCATCCTTCACCTCCAAGGCCAGCACTGGCAGCAGCGAGGCAGCATTGAGCAGGTAATAGTCCTTCAGCCTGCCAGGCTGGTGTTTCTGTGCAGGGAACCTGCCAGGAGCTGTCCTGCTGTAACACCTGAGGGCTGCAGGGAGGTATGGCAGGGCTGCTGGGAAGGCAGGATGGTATCCCTGCTCAGCCAGGCTACTCTCCAGGCCAGGGTTCTGGCTGAACCTGCGAAAAATGACCAGATAATATTGGCTTTCTCATTTATGTATTAGTTTATGTATGTTGTCAGTGATTACAAGTATTTAGAAACAGTATCAATTATAACTCTTTTTAGCTGCTTATATAATATAATCTATCAGCTTAAGTCTGCACTGTGTTGCTCATAGAAATAGTAGTGTAATGATTACAATATCTATGTATCATTTATGGAAACAATGGTGTGATGAATGTATTATATTACAGACCTCAGCCATCCTAAACTGTGAAAAAGGCTTTTGTGTAACTAAAAACAATGTAAGGCCATCCCCTGACTGACCCCTCTGAGTGATAAGATAACCATGAGACAAACCAGAGTACCAGAGGACAATTAGAGAATACCGTGTTAAATTTAAGAAGGACATATTAAACCCTTATCAGAGGATTTGAAACAGCAGGATGGAGACACAAGAAGAAATAAAATATATTGATCTGACACCCAGGATGTCATGCTGGTAAGCTAGCATGTGAAGAAGTCAAACAAAGAAGCTCCCAAAGCATCAGAAAGTTATCAAGATTGTTTGAATAATTAATGAAATAGATGAACATGCATGTACCTCAGCAATGTAACAGTGTAAAGATAACATTGTTTGTATACAGGAGGTGTTCTTTGGCTGCTGGCCAGGAGCACCTCAGTGTTAGAAATATTGCCCTTCTTTATCCTATTATTATTATTAAACTCTAAAAATTCTACAAACTGAATTCTGCTCTTCACAAACCTATTCAGCAGCACAGCATGCTGCCAGCACCATGGCGAGGTCAGCACGTCTCTAGGGTGAAAAAAGGAAAAGCCATTCAGTAACCCATCAAATAAAACATTGTAGGAAGCTTTTACTTACAGTCTCACTATTGGATAATTCTGGTGTAATCAGGAATTAATCATTTTCAGGATGAAATTAATCATTTTGGTTAGAAAAGTATATGGGAAATGAATTTTAATAGGAAATCAAGACACTGTTTTTTTTCTAATTATTGCATTTAAGACATCAATTTCTTCTGAAACAAGACATTCTCCATTTTTCTTATTTTATGTAGGAGATATAAATGATGAAGCATAACAGTTTTCCTGACTATAAAGTATTTCCCTCGGAACAAAGAATTACTGTAATATTAGCTGTAAACAACAAAAATAATCACACACACACACTGCTTTACAATGCTCATTCCAGCCCACACTAAAATGCCATTTTTACAAGTATTCTTTTTCACATTTTATGTTTTACAAACACTGGGCCAGTAAAACTTAAATCCATAGATATTTTTGGAAGACAGCAGTGGTATGTGATAGAAACATGCTTGTTTGTATTTCAGTTTGCTCTTTCAGGTCCTTCTTACATGCATTTTCCCCATTTCTGTTTGAATTCCTATTAGTAATTTTTCATGTAATCTCAAAAAAAAAATACTCCTCAGGAGTACTCACTACCTAAAGCAGAAAAACACATTGATCCAATCGAAGAATTTTTAAGCTGACTCAATTAAACTAATGCTATGTATCGATGCTTATTGTTTTTTAATAATGAAGTTCTTTAGCAGCCGTGTGATCAAGACCCAAATTTTGTGACGGCCTTTGCTATATGTGTCATTACTAATTCAATTCCTTATCTCTCCCCAAAGCCACAGACCTGACACTGCTCCATGCATCTCTCAGTTCTGCTGTGTACTGCTTCTCAAAGTGATCCAGAACCACCTGGCAGATCTGCTTCTGGAGCTTCCCTTTTGCCTTCTTTTCCAACTTCAGAGAAAGGAAGAAAAAAAAAGAAAAGTAGTAAAGCCAAGTTAAACCCTCTCTGGTTCTCACTAGAATGAATAAAAAACATCTTATTTGTGAAAAATGTATATTTTATGATTGGCTTTTCGCAAATGATACAATGAATACTATATGTGTAATGTTAGAAAGTTATGCTGTATTAATTCTCTTACATAGTGTGTTAAATGTAGTTTTAGGTTACAACATAATGTTGAAATAGAAACTCTGCGGTATAGGATTTGTTACAAGCTCAAGCAGGAAGATAAGATAATTAAGACACTTTTCACAGAAATGTTAGTGAAGGGGGCCCGTAAAAAGTTACTGCCTCCTTATCAGAAAGACAGTAACATTCTTCTACATTTTCTCGTTTTTATAGAGCCAACAGGATTAGGGAGAAGAAGTTAACAAAAACTAGAAAAGTTCTTAATTTGCAAAGAATTTATGCAACATGTATGAATACATGAATATGCAACAGGCTATTGTTTTTAAGGTTATTCCTTTGTTCACAAGGGATGCTTTTCTCGACTTAGTGTCCAAGAGCATCCGGATGTCCGTAATTCTTTGCTTTTTATTGTCTTGTAATTGTCCTAACTCTAAACTTTATTACTCTAATTGTGTTACTATTTTTATATTATTATTAAACTTTTTAAAATTCTTAAAAACCAAGTGATTGGCGTTTTTCACATTACTAATTACATTAACTTGGTATCAGTGATATTGGAATGCTCAAATATTAGCCCACATCTTTACGTGATCAAAATGTGACAGACATTTAAGACAGCAAAGGAGTTAAGCTACAGCACACTCTTCCTCCCTGCTCGGCTGGTTAATAAACACCCCTCCTTATGCACTGTGCTGATAATCCTGTGTTTCCTGGCACTCTGATGGAGATTAACCTACGGAAGGAAGGGAAAGAGCTCTGGGTTTCTAAGCAAACCCCGAGGGTAAACGCTGAATTTCCCTCCCTCGGGGCACCCTGCAGCCGTCCCGTCCCACCGCGCTGCTTCCAAAACAACACAGGGCAGCACAGGGCCGGCTGCGGGGCCGGGGACGCTCTGCCTGTGCCGGAGCAGCTGCCGGCAGTGGCTGCAGAAGCACAGGGCACACTCGGGGTGCGGAGGAGGGAACGAGGTGCCCAGGGAAGCGGCGGGACGCCTCACCCGTGCAGCGTTCCGAGCGGCCTCTCCCCGCCCGCCCGCACGGCCCGCGCAGGAAGCGGCCGCAGCCCTCCCGCCGCGCTTCCGGGCTCGGCTCCGGCTCCGGCCCCACACCCGGCCCCAGCCCCATCTCACCTGCCCCGCTCCCGGCCCCAGCGCGGCCCCGGCGCGGCGGACGAGCGGCAGCGCTGGGCCCCGCATGGCCCCGCATGGCCCCGCTCCCCGGGGCGGAGCGGCCCGGCCCGGCCCGGCCCCCGCGCCCGGCCCCGCCGCTGCCGGGGTGCAGGGCTGGGACCCGGCGCTCCTCACAGGCCGCTGAGGGGTAGCAGCAAAGATCAGCTGGTCCCAACCCCTCGGCTAGGGCCGGGGACACAACCCGCGAGAGGATGCTCAAGTCCCCATCGAGCCTGGCTTTGAATGCTGCCACTCTTGAGGTATCCTACAACGTCCCTGGGCACCTCGTTCCCGCGTCTCACTACTCTCATAGTAAAAAAAAACAAAAAACAAACAAACAAACAAAAAAAAACCAAACAAAAAACCCCTCAAACTTCCTAATTTTTAGTTGGTTTTTTTTTTTTTTTTTTTTTTTTTTAAACCGTGGGAGCCTACCTTGCCATCTCGACTCCTCTGCCTCGCCAGTAGCCAAACCAGGATTAGATGGCACCTGGGGTCTAACTTAAATCAATTTACAAAAGTGATCCTTACCCCAGCGCCTGCTGGAGGGTCTGATGGCGTCCACTACCCCTCACCATCAGGTCTCTGCTTGTGCCCGGTCACCAGACCTTTATTCCTATCTGGCCCAGGCTTTGGAAGTGCTCTCAGCTCATGTGAACCACACTCGAGATCACCTCCAGCTTAACCTGCTGTAACTGCCATGAAAAACTGCTGGAGGGTTGAGATTTATTCACAGAAGTCTCTCACACACACTTTCAGATCAAACATTATCCGGGGATAGGAATCAGGAGGACCACAGTACTCCAGTTCAGCTGTCCCTGCTTCAGCAGCACTGAAATTGGAGGCTGCTCTCATCTGATCCCTTCATCTGGACAGAAACTGAGACCTGCAAACTGCTCCTCCAAGGAAGGGCATCCTGCAATCACTGTGTCCTAGAAAAGAAAACAAATCCCCACAAACCCTTTTGTGCCCATTTGCCAACTCTCTTGTTAAGATCAAGCCCTGTGGAAGCAGCCAACTTGTTTAAGAGTGGTTTTAATTAAAGCTTCTGCAGGCTGAGCTCAGCTTCTGAAATCCAAACTGAAAAGGGCTGCAAAGGTGAAGGTAGGAGTGCTGTTGTATGGATAAATATTTGAGTTTCAGGCACCAGCTAATGAAGACTAAGTGTTTTTGCTCACCTCATGCAGATGAGCTTGAAAGCTGATTTAAAATACTTCTATCAGCGTTGTGACAAAGGGCCTGGAGGCAAAACAGAGACCTCTTGCATATCAAATGTGAAGGAAACCTGAAAGGCTGATAAGTGAGTTTTACTGGCAGATACAGAACAAAACTGGTATAAAAAGTAGTTCTCTGTGGTTGTAATTCTGCCAAGGCTAGTACCATACTAGAAAATATACACAAGAATTGAATTTTATCGTACCAATACAACAAAAAGGTCTGCTGAATGAGTCTCCTTCCCTGAATCTATGGCTATATTGCACTATATGACAGGTGGTGCCATGTGTTTGAAACCAGATTTGCACCAAAGCAACAAAAGGACTCCAGTTCATCAGCACCACCACCATCACAGCCAAACTGCAAACAGCAATAATGCATCTTGCATCTCTCAATAAAAGATAAACTTATCTCAAATTACATTTACAACAGGTTCCATTACTTATTCCATTTACAAATGAAATACTGGTGGGTATGTTCTATCCAAAATAGTAAAGTATTCTAAAAGGAATGAATCCCAGGAGCCAAGAAACTAACATGATGGCAAAGTTATTGAGTAAGCATCCTGAAGTTACAGTATTAAACTTCCCACTAAAATACGGAAATATATTACTGAAAAAAATAATGCTTGAATCTTATTTAAAGGGAAAAAGAATCAATGGTTTTTACCTTGTTACGATCCATCAATCCTTTCCAATCTCACACCAGAGACCTAATGGATACCAAATATGCCTATTTTTAATAATTTTGATTTAAAAACCTTAACATCTATGATTTCTGTGGATTCTAGGGTGTAACTAAAAGGGAAGACAATTGAACAACTTATTTTGAAGCTCTGAGTCTTTCACATTAATTCAGTTCATGAACACTACTATTCCTTCTCAGAAGATTGTTTTAACTTACCTTTAAAGTATTTTGTCTAAAATGTATTCAAGATATTACACATAGATAATGCAAAATGTTCTGCTTAAATAGTGAATTTCCGTGGTCTTACCACTCCTGCATTTAAATACAAATACTCTGAACTGCATGCACTGATACATTTCAAAAGAGATACTATGGATGACAAAAAGTCTGACAAAATCTAATTTATTCTCTCAATTTACAGCTACACAACTTTTATCTCTCAAATATTAAGTGCATTATTAAAGCTCTTTATAGGTATACATATACACCCAACTTACTGCCAATCTATCAGTTTATTCTAAACTTGATCACATTTCTCCTGAAAAAATATGCAAAGATTCTATCTATAAGGACTCTATTTCATACATTTTAGAAATGTGTGACTTACAGCCCTTAGATATTTACAGACTAGACCTACTTCCAAAAAATTATAAAAACAGGAAACGTGTTGATGCTTTGCATTAGTTTTATTCTATACATAAATGTCATCTTGAGCAAATAAAAAGTTATAGCAGTATAAATTACTGAAAAAACCCCAGCATAGTAAATAATTACAAAGCATATTAATAAAACAAAAACTTATAAACAATTTTTGAGTACTTTGGTCACATACTGGTGAAATTTATTTTGAAAGCAAAAATCAAAAATGATACATGTGTCCACACACACAATACACAGAACACACAGTTTATATATAAGCATCAACATTTGAGTTTCTCAATTTTGTTACCACAGCAGTATTTAGCTTTATTTCTAATAAAGACTTACGTGACTTTTTTTTTTTAGAAAAGAGGGAAAACAAAAGTGTAATACATTCCTAGAAATTGAAGCTGTAAAAAAGTAAGTCTGCAAAAGTAGAGCCTTTAAGCCAAAAACTTAAGTGGTAACAGAGCTAGTGTTAGTAAGGTTGAGATTGCACATAGATATATTGGTGCAACCTCCCCTCCACTTAGTATTGTGTTGTCTGAAGGGAAAATGACCAAATCCTGAGAGTCTTTCAACTGATTCACGTTCCAGTATTAGAATACAACAGAAGTATTCTCATGCTGGTAGTCACATAGAAATCCTTCCCTCCTTTCCCTAAACTAGCAAACAGAGAAATAAACCTCCCCACCTACTCCAAACTTAGTATCCTTAAGATTGATTCCACCTTACTCTTTAAAAATCTGCATAATTTCATTTTAATATGGCAGATGTTTGTGCAACTCCTTGCTGCTTGCATGGCAAGGATTTCCAATATCAAAGTGCTGAACACATAACACACCACTTTGTTTCAACATCTAAACTCCTTTGGTAAAACCACATTATTGACAACAGAGCAAAACGTAAAATTACCAAATACTGCTTCTCCAAATAACCTCCTGAATGGAGGCTTCATCCTGTCTATCATTAAGTGGCAGAACGATGGACCTTTACAACCACTCGTTGCCTCCAGTCTGACAGCAAAAACATTTAAACAGGAATATAACAAATTGTAACCCTTCTTGTTTAGGTATCACTTTTATGTGATTTTCAATATATTATATGGAAGTGTTACATAAATCCTTAAAAACCCCTGGGTTTCTTCAGTTGGCAAGTTGGTATTTTAGTATTATTGAGATTAACAACTGAGGGAGGTCATCTGTATCCTGGTTAATTCAGTTTCCTATCAAAATTGATTATATAGTTAGTGCAAATTTCCCACTACGTGAATTTTCTCATTTGTTGTAGTAGACAATACAGTATTCAACTCTATTTTTTTTCCACAGAATTTATTACCTATATCAAACTCAGATAACAAAACAAAGAAAACGATGGATAAGAAAACTTCCAGACAGTTCAAATAGCATTATTTTGTATAAAATGTATTTATTTTAAAAATTTTTTATCGTACCCTCTGCTTCAGATTCCCAGAAATATGAAATATGTAATGTAATATCTAAGAAAAGGTATTGGTACCGTAAGAGAGTCAAACACATTTTATTTTTGTGCACTTGACTATCGGCTTTCTAATGCTCCCTACATATCATTTTATTGGTAGGAGGTACACAGCTCCACTCAAACTTTCAACTCATTTTATAAAAAGGTAGAAAAATATATTCAATATTTGTTTAACCTTTCTATATTCACCCTATCATACAGGAATCTTACAAAATGCTTTAGAATAATTTATTCCCTGAAAAAATACCAACACCTGCACAGCACCTGGAGAAAGGTCTCGGTGGGAATGTACAATCCAGTATTATGGGATCTTGAAGGTGTTTTTCTTCAGGTTTACAGCCAAGTCTTTTCACAAGTAAACCAAATAAACCCTGAAGAAGAGCTGGTGATGTGAAAAGTAAATTATAAAGTCTGACCATTAAGCACAACAGGATGAACTCCATGTTTAGTTGTCACATACTGATAAAATGTCATGTAAAAAAAACTTCCTTCAAGGGTAAAAAAAAAAAAAAAAAAAAAAAATAGGAGTTTTAATTTATGTTTTTTAAAATTTTCTTTGTGCTCCAGTTAAGCAATGACATCATGGGTGTCACTGTTGGGTCTTTGGCGTAGAGTCAGCGGGGGCAGAGGCTTCCCATAGAAATCTGTGGAAGAAATTCCAGAGCAGAAAAACACATCAATCTGTCACCTACCCCCTTCCTGGCTCAAAGAATGTTTACTAAATTCGTACTTCTTTAAGGAAAGCCAGGTATTCTGAGTTTAGAGCTAATTCCTCCAAGCAAAGTTTCAAACCTAGTGCTAATATCTAGAGATGGATTGGCCAAATGAGGATTTAATTACATTTTGTTATACATGCATCAGTATTTGCTGATCAAGCCCAAAGGAGATCTGTAAACATCTCTAAAAATAGGAAAGGAGAAATTCAAAGTGTACAATAACTGAAAAGATAAAGCACTGAACTTTGTATGTTGCTATATTCAAGACTGCACTACAATATAGTTTTAAATGATAGTAATACTGAG